CTACTACTACTACTACTACTACTAATAATAATAAGAAGAAGAAGAAGAAGAAGAAGAAGAAGAATAAGAAGAATGAGAAGAATTACACATAGAGCGAACACCCACGATTTCCAGCAAGCTTTATGTGCTTTACAACTATTACTTTTGAGAGCAACGGAATCCACTATGAAAACCTTGAACAGAAAAGAGGATGGTAGTGTTTAAAGGATGCGTATTGTTTCTTTCGTTCCCTTATTGTTGATTCTTTAGAGATTGAATTGCGTGCACAATGGTAAGAATTTGAAGTTGAAGGTGGGTGGGTGGGATATCTGAAGGCAAAGGAGATGGTGCCTAGAGGAATACGTGTCTTGGGTCAGTGATATATAAGGGTGGTGTTGTACGTGCACTTTGAAGCGGAAAAAAGGTCAGACAAACAGCACGTTAAATATCCTTTGGAGGTAAAAAATCGATAAGAGTAGGCATCGGTCACCACCTGGGCAACTTTCAAAATGTCCTACCTATTGAAAATGTTTGGTGTGTCGCGCTTTTTTGTGGTGGTGTAATGCGAAACCAGTATTTTGTGTCTGTGTAGGGCTAGACAGCAATACACTAAAGCAATGTAGATCAAGAGAAAAGTTAATCAAGGCAGGCTTAATCTAAAGCAATATAGATCTAGAAGCTAGGTGTGACTGTGAAAGGCTAGACAGCAATGTAGATGCAAAATGCCTCCGCGGCGTAGACCAATAGGAGCAGCGACGCCAAGGCGCCGACCCCGAGCAAAGCCGGGTACTCAGTTAGTTTGTTATAATTATGTTACTGAAGACTATCATACTATTTCAGTTCTTTCACATTCATCATCATCTGGTACCTTGCCCACTGGCGTGGGCGATCATGGACCTTCACTTCCCTCTGTCCTGCGTTACAGTGATGGTGTCTGTTGTTCTTCTTGTTCCTTGCCATGTTGTTAACTTGTCCAGTATCCTTTCCCTCTGTTTGCCTCTGCCTCTCTTTCCATCAAACTTGCCTGTTGTTACAGTATTCTCCGATTCTTCTTTCCGCATTGTGTGTCGATTGAAATTTGCCTGTCGCTTTCGTATATTCGTCATAAGCTGTCGTCTGCAATTTACTTTAACTAAGACTTCTTCATTCCTAGCGGTCCATGGGATAAGCAGCATGTGTCTTATGAACCACAACTCTGTCGCCTCAATTGTTCTTTCCAGCTGAATATTGATTATCGATGCTTCGCAACCGTATAATAGGATTGGCTCGATGTTTATTTTCAGTACACTTTTTCTTGTTTCCTGTGACAGATTGATCTTTGTTAGTATCTGTTTCACTTTGCTATGGACATGGACATTTTTTAATGTTTATCCTTATAATGGCAGGTGATCGTATTCTACAAACGAGAGGCAGCGTGGTGGAATCAGGCTCTCGTCGAAGTAATCAAAGTGAAGAAACTTGCATTTTTCTTCTGGTTTATAAATTTTTATCAAATTTTTGTTTTTTGGCTCAACACCTTTCATGCCCATAACAGAACTCATTACTGTGTGGATTTTTGTGAAAACCATTAATTAAAGGCATTAAAAAAGTAAATTTTCAGGTACCACAGACTCTTAAGCTAAGGAAATAACTAATTTTTGGTGGCCATTTTCTCACTAATTTTACCTCTGAAAACAGGGTACCCCCATCCCCTTCTTTCTCAAATATCTAGACTTGTATTCAAGATAAATGGATATTTTTTTCATCCAAATAAGCACAAGTGAACAAGCTTTAAGATGATATCAATAACTCTACATGTCCAAAAATTGACGAGAGCCTGATTCCAACACGCTGCCTCACAAATACTCTACATGTCTTGAATGTGTGTATGTGTGTGTGTGTGCGCACTCGCGTGTATGTGTGTGTGTGTGTGTGTGTGTGTGTGTGTGTAT